ACTCTAGCAGGTGAGGGGGGGGGGGAAGGGAGAGAGAGAGAGAGAGAGAGAGAAGGAAGCCAACAAGCCAGCACTGGCTGCTACCAGCCTTGCCAGCAGTGTGATAGCACACCCCCAACTCACTGTTTCCTCTGCAGGTTGTGTGTCCCCCTCCCTATTTTCTCCTCCCCATCAGGCCGCAGAAAGCCTGGCAGAACCCCAACGCGGGCTCAGGTCCTGCAGGTTGCTACTTGCAGGACTCTTAAGGAGGTGGGAGGCAATTCCATGGTTTCTCCAAACCTCTCACTTCAATTCAAGTTTAGGCACCAATGCAGCAAGCTGCTCTGAGCAGGCACAGGGTTTCCCCAGGCAGGACAGATTATGGCACATAGTGTAGCCCCCCCGCCTTCCACCATTTCTTCCTCCTCTGCCCTTTGCATCAGGTGCTCTAGGTTTCAAGGGCAGGAGGATGAACTGCCTTAGCCTAAGGAAAAAATATTCAAATTCTTTTAGTGCTGCTATGCCATAAAACCAAGATGTCAATTTGAAGTTACCTGGACAGCCTCATTTCAACACAAACTCCTCTTTACTCAGCTTGTTTCAGTTAAGTTATCTTCTGCAGCAGCAGAACACAATTTAGCCACCCAAGCCACAGACAAGCCTCTTCGACCCGAAAGCTTATGTCTCTCGGCTCACTCCGAAAACCCCAGTGACCAGGAGTGGTCATTTCGGCTCTCTCTAAACTCCTCAGGTTACATAGGAATAAGACTGCCGAGAGGCATTTGAAAGAACCTCTGCCAAAAGAGTCACCCTCCCACACACACTGCAGTTTATACTGCTCCAGGCAAGAACTGGAAGGGCTGGGCTAGAATGTCAACACAGACTTGTGTTTCTGACTCCAGGCCTGCCTTTTATCTCCAGGCAGAGAGAGAGAGAGAGAAAGTAAAACATGTTGGTTGTCTGGAGCAGTTTCATGGCAAGCATCCCACTCGCTTAGAAATAATCAAAGAGCAATAATTAACATGCATTTACTGTAGCATAAGATACTCTGCTGCATGCTGTGACAAAGTTTCAGCAAAGAATCTGTTCCACTGCAGGCTAAATTTGATTTCCTCTACGTTCTGTAGCAGTATGACTTAGTACAAAGGCCTATTAATAAAGACCAAGCTGGTATTTATGTTTGCAGTTAACAATCCAAGAACATCCTGCTTTTATTTAGCCTCTAACGCCAGTATGGTCAGTCCAAAATACACACAGGGAGAACATACAGACACAAGCAGCTTGCTGCATATAAAAGGGAAAAAAATAGGAGCTCTAACTGGCTCAGGTGTTTTCTATCATCACTGTGACTAAGGAACAATTCTCTTTCTGATGCAATTCACAAGGGACTGCATTTTCATCAATCTTCTCTTAAACATGCCTGCTTGCCAGTGACTAATGCTCCCTGATGCTGCTCAGCACAGCTCGAGTTTCACCAGTCAGCTTTGCCCTTGACAGCCTCACTAGGCTACAACTAGAAAAGCTCCGAGGCCATCACAGAGAGATGTTAGCTCTCCAAGTAGCACTGCACCTGTGTTCCTATCAAATTGATTTTAAAAGCTATTGTATTATGGACAATCAATCAGAGGGGGTTCAAATGAATCCCAGAGATCCAAGTTCACAGATGGTAAAATATCTTTACAAAGCTATTTAGTCAAGACAGGATACTTGGAAATATAGGCTAACCTCATCTTGAGGAACCAAAACCATGCAAGTCTGCATGCTACCTTTTTCTTAACCCTAATGAGTTACATGAGTTAGTGCAGAAAACAGCTATATTTACATTTACATACAATAAGCTATGGAGTTACTTACAGTTATCAGACTGAAAATCTGGGACAAACTGTTCGTCATCAGGAACTTGGGCTGGAAAAAAAAGGGGGTTGTAAAATAGTTTAGTCACTCCAAATACATGTGCATTAGAAAATGTGATAGAAAAAAGGGGCAGAGATGAAGACTTGCCTTCAGCTAACCAAGCCTCCTGAAGCTGGCTGAGATCCTGGAACAGTTCTGGAACAGAAGAAAAGAATTATGTAGAACAGTTACAAAGAGGTTCAACTTTTATGGAGAAAAGAGGTAGTAGTGACAACTTAAGTTTCCCCCTCTTCATTAAGATTCAGTTTAACTACCTTCGGAATCATGTGCCAGGTCAGTGTCCAAAAACTTCCTTTTTCTGTCAGTCACTGGCCGGCCTCGACATTCCTCTGTGCAAGACTGCTGAAAGAGAGACCACATATTGCCATGAAGGACACAGCAAGCTTACCAGAGACAGCACACGCTAGACAAAGGAAGAGAAATCTTACGGTAAGAGATGAAGAACAAAAAGTGCTTGGGAGGCAGAGACAAACAAGACTTACCCCTGGGACCATGAAAGGGACTTGCTGATCATAAAAGCCATCCATTGTGCTTCCAATATCTTTAGTATCCCCTTAAATGTTTTCAGCATTGAAGCCAATTCCAGAGAAGGAGGGTTTTCTTCAAAGTACCTACTATGGCAGATTGAACACTAAGGAACAAAAAAAGACGCAAAGCATCAAGATCTGCCTTTAAGCCTGAACAGACTTCCCCCTTCTCTAATGGCATGGAAAGAACACTGCCTGCGAGCTTTAAAGATTAACTGCTGGGCTCAATTAACACACACCAAACACACTATGTTTAAAGACTAATCCATTTATTCTCTGATATTTTCTCCCCTTGCCAATTAACTTGCTATGATTGATCATTTTCATTCACAAGTTTCTCCTCTATAACCTAACTTCTTGCTTGAACAGAGAGGTCATAACCTTTAGTTTGTGATGTCACAGAGTTACCATGGAAACTGCTGTGACATCACTAATGATTGATTACAACTGCTTAAAAGCAAACATATGGGCAAAGGCGTGGATTACAAGGGAGAGATCATATTGCCCAGAGTACAAATATTTTTTCTCTACATGGCTAAAAGATAGCTATAAATAGCAACAAGTCCATGGAAAGTAAGTCCCAGTTTACTTAACAAATATGAAAGAGCTAATCTATCTAAAGACAACAGAAAATAAAGTTTAACTCTTCTGGGTACTGCCAGGGAAAGAGAGAGAATACTTCTCTAGGGGCCATTTTAAAATAATGAAAATCATTGTTTTAAGAAAATCAGTTGGCTTCCCAAGCCCGTCATATGTTTGAGAAGTTAAACACCCAGTAACAAAAGGCAAACGTTTTCTATATGTTTAGTTGACAGTGAAGTCTACATGAAGTGGAAAATCACTACTTCCCCGTGCTGTTGATGCAACTCTTGCCATTCCAGAAGCCAGACTGTTGTAAATTAATCAAAGAGCAACTTTCACTTCATTGCTTTTTTAAAACATTGAGTAGTTTTGGTGTGAAATGGAGTGCAGGATTGTTGTGCCGCTATAATTGCAGTAGATTTTTTAAAAAAGCATCCAAGCCTATAAGTATATAAGCCTTCTACTTCTTCTCTCCATAAACAGAAATAAGGAATTTGGTATTTAAATATTTAGCATGAAGAGGAAAAATGCACACCACAAGTTTCATAACACCTAGGAGGGGAGGGACCTTTCCAGCTTCCATACCCAAGCAGTATTGTGTGTTACAGACTAAAGCCTGCTCTTAAAATGTCAGAGTCCTGCTCCAACATTCAGCAGTGCAGGAAAGAATGCAAAGGAGATGCCCGAGTCCAAAAATCCTTCCCAAGTAGTGGTTGGGTCCAGTTTTTCAATAACAGCAACATTTTTAGAGGGCTCTAGACCACATATATTTAACTGGGCCTGTAGTTAAGCCACTTCCTCGCCTGTTCCTTTCCCTGTGCCCCCAGGAAAGCTTTAACACAGTCAAACAATAAAATTAGCATCCCCTCCCCCACAACACAAATCTGGCTTTAGCTTTATGAATGGAAGAGGGAGCAGCAGCAGGTAGAGTGTAACTGGATCCCCAGAGCAGGGCCCCATTCACAAAACAAGGCACACACTTCCCAGCTTTCCCCATTCATGAAACTCCTTCAGATGCGCCCCCCGCCCCCACAGCCTCGGGAGAGACAGCCCCCACCCCCGCGGTTTGAGGGGAAACTTAATGCTTCATTCACAAATCGCCCACATTCGTAGAACTCCGAGCAGCCGCGGCCAAGCTTAGCCATTCCGTCCGGCAGCCCTGAGCTAGAGCAGGCTGTCGCGCGCCCCTACACTCCAGCCCCATCCACCTGCTCCCGCCCCCAACATCTTGTGCACCTCAAAGCCTGTCCCCCGCACCCCATGATCCTCACATCCATCACCTGCACGGCGATACTAACACCGCCTGCGCACCCTCCTATACCCCAAACATGCATACCCCTGGCACCCCCAAACTCATGTCTCGCACCCTAGGTACCCCCAGCTCCAACCGCCTGCACCCCCACATCTCCAAGCCCCGCGCGACCCCGCATGCACTTCCCACCCCCTGGTCCCCCAAGCCCGTCACCTGCACGGGCACCCCACCCCTGCACCCCATTCCCGCGCACCCCACTTACACTCCCCCAAGCCCCGCGCGCCCCTCGCGCTTCCCGTCTACACCCCCAAACCCCTCTCGCTCCTTCCCAAGCCCCGTGCGCCCCCTCCTGCACCCCATTTCCGTGCGTCCCTCCCCGCCTGCACCCCCATACCCGCGCGCCCACCACCTCTTGCGCTAGCCCGAGCCCCGTGCGCTCCCCGGCCGCGCAGCCCCCTTCCCCAGGAAGGCTGCGGCCTCACCCCGATCCGCACTCACCGGGTCCCGTAGCCCCTCGCAGCCGCCGCAGAGTCGCTCGGAGCCGGAGTCTTTGGGCTGCCAGAGGCCGAGCGGCCTCCCGAGTCCGCCCGCCCACCCGTCCGCATTGGCCCACAGCCTCTCCAGGAGCCGTCAATCACTGCTTGTTTACCCTTTCCGCCGCCCAATGGCGCGCGTCCCTGCGGCGCCGCCCGTTCTGATTGGTCCTAGTGGCCCAGCGGCCCGTTCTGTGCCCGCCTCCTCCTAGCGCTAATGTACATAATTTATTCTCCGGGGAGTGGCAGCCAATCGGCACAGCCTAATTTGCACAACGATTGCAAGGACGTTTTTCATTCATAAAAAAACGCGTCCTGAGGGGGAGGTCGAGCGAGGGAAGGATTTAAAGAGACAGCGCCTCGCCGAGCGGCCAGGCTCCCACCGCGAGCGCGGCGCCCCGTGCCAGGCCGGCGCGTCGCGTGCCCAGGGCAGGGGACACTCGCCCTTGCCCAGCCTCCACGGCACCCCGGGGCGTTATTGGGGCTGGGCAGGGCACAGGCGCAACCCCGCAGCCAATGGGCTTCGGAGCCAATGCCAATTGGAGTATCGTTAGGCCTCAGAGTGAACGCCCCAGTGCGCATCGGCCGGGGGCTTTTCCCTCCCTGCAGGCTACAGGCACTGCATGGCTCCCGGGAGGTGCCCCCTCAACCCATCAGGACCAGCAGCTACTGAGTGCCCAAATGCTACAGTGACTGAGGGGACTGGTACAGAGTGCCAGCCTGCTGCTCCACTGGGTCTCCCCTTAGAACAGCTCACAAGCTCGTTGGTTGGTGCCATCACATTGATTGGTCATGATTAAGGTTAAGATTCTGTCACGGTATTTTTAGTAAAAGTCAGCGATAGGTCCCAGGCAATAAACAAAAATTCCTGGAAGCCTGCAACCTGTCCCTGACTTTTACTAAAAATACCCTGGGGGGTGAAGGGAAGCAGAGCTCTGCCTGGGCTAACTCTAAATCCACCACTGGCTGTCATGTCACCTGGGCTGGGGATACTGTCAGGGCTGGTGTAACCACTAGGTGAACTAGGCAACCGCCTAGGGCACCAAGATTTGGGGGTGCCAAAAAGCAGTGCCCCCCAATTTTTTTTTACACTACAGTGGAGTCACATCTTACACGGGGGTTAGGTTCTAAAGTCACCGCGTACGAGGAAAATCGCGTATAGTGAAAATTACCATAAAGTACAGTATACACAGTATACACTAGAACAGGGGTCCTCAACCTACGGTATGCATGCCAAAGGTGGCACACAAGCCGATTTTTTTTTTTTAATGGCAGGCGGCAGGTCCCAGCTGCCACTGAGCTTGCTGCTGACCTGGGGTTCTGTTCACTCAGCCGGCAGTGGGCTGAACAGGGCCAGCAGTGGGCCGGGGTCCCAGCTGCCAGCCCCGCTCAGCCCGCTGGGGTCCGAGCCAGCTCTGCTCAGCCTCCTGCCAGTCTGGGTGAATGGCCTGGGGTTCCGTTCACCCGGGGTTCCGTCCACCGGCCGGGGGTTCCATTAAATTAAAATTAATGGAGATATACTATCGCCTAGAACTGGAAGGGACCTTGAAAGGTCATTGAGTCCAGCCCTCTGCCTTCACTAGCAGGACCAAGTACTGATTTTGCCCCAGATCCCTAGGTGGCCCCCTCAAGGACTGAACTCACAACCCTGGGTTTAGGAGGCCAATGCTCAAACCACTGAGCTATCCCTCCCCGCTCCCCCATTCCCCCAGGGTTCTGTTTGCCGGCCGGGGGTTCCGTTCACCCAGGCCGCCAGGAGGCTGAGCAGATCCAGTGGCCAGGCCCCGGGCTGGCAGGAGGCTGAGCAGGCTGAGTGGGGCCGGCGGCTGGGACCCTGGCCGGCAGGAGCCAGCGGACGGAACCCCAGACCGGCCACCGGCCCAGCTCAGCCCGCTGATGATTTGGGGTTCCGGCTGCCGGCCCCTTGCCAGCCAGGCTCTCGGCCACCGGCCCAGCTCAGCCCGCTGATGATCTGGGGTTCCGGCAGCCGGCCCCTTGCCAGCCGGGGTCTTGGCCACCGGCCCTGCTCAGCTTCCTGCTGCCCTGGGTGAACAGCAGGAGGCTGAGTGGAGTCACTGGCTGGGACCCCGGCTGGCAGCTGAATGAACGGAACCCCAGGCCGACAGCAGACTCAGCGGTGACCGGGACCCGCAGCCTGCCATTAAAAAAAAAAAATCAGCATGCGTGCCGTAGATTGAGGACCCCTGTTCTAGTGTAGACAGTGTATACTGTAATTTATGGTAATTTTCACTATACGTGATTTTCCTCTTACGCGCTGACCTTAGAACCTAACCCCCGCGTAAGATGTGACTCCACTGTATTCATTTTTGAACATTTATAATAAGCGATGCTCCGGGGCGGGGGAGCGTGCAAGGTGGAAGTTTCGCCTAGGGTGCAAAATATCCTTGCACCAGCCCTGGATACTGCGTCAGCTGATCCCCACAGTCTCCAACCTACCTGGGCAGTACGGCAGACATGGCCCTGCCCGCTAGCTCCTCTCCACTCCCTAGCCCACCCACCACTTGCCCCCCCCCCAAGGCTTATCCTCTTACTTTTAAAAATGATTGCTTGCCCCTCTCCCCCCCTCAGGCTTTTCTGGCAGCCCTGTTGCCAGGTATCCAGTTTTAGACTGGAAACTCCAATAGAAAACGGGACCTGAGTGTCCGGTTAGCAGTGCTGACTGGAAACTAAATGTCCGGTTATAGGAGTAACCACATTAGCCTCCGCTCCTCCCACTCCCAACACCCACCCCAGAGGGCTGGAAGAGAACCTGTCCTGCTGCTGTGGGAGGAGGGGCAGCTCAGTGCAGAAAGAGACAAAGAAAATGGGCTAGAACCAGGTAGGTACCCGTTCTATGTGGGCTGGGGCGGGGGGAATCCTGTTTACCCCCTCCCCAGCCCTGCTGCACTTGCAGTTTACCCCGAACCCTCCCTTGCTCCAGAGACCAAGCCTAGCTCCTGCCCCACTGCGCTTTTACCTCCGACCCCTTTTACAATCATTCCCCAGGGGGCCCCACAAATATGTTTGGCGCCGGCCCACAAAAAGTTAGTCCGGCCCTGGAAAGGATGTGTGTGCACTGCACAGGCTAGGCCTGTGGAGACCAGGACAGAATTCCCAAAGCTGGTGGGATGGGGAATCTGGGGGATGAAAGTGCATCCTCTTCTCACTGCCCTGAATACCAGGGATCTCCGTCACCAGCAGAAGTTGGTCCAGTAAAAGACATTACCGCACCCACCTTGTCTCTCTGAATACCAGACATATTTTCAAAGGAAGGCAGCCCCCCCCCCACACACAACACACACATTGCCTACTCTGCCAGGGTATTGTCCCCCTCTTTAGATGAGCTCACAGGCCAGCACATGTGCCCATGCACAAAGATGGCCACAAGTGCTGATGCCGGTCACAGAAGCCTCATTGTAAGACAGGGCAATACAGCAAAGGAAGCTAGTAGGTCACACTGCTAGAGGAGACAAACTGACACAGAAGGCACACAAGGGGCCCAGGAGAGCCCAAACCTTAGTACGTGTTCACTGTCATGTCTCTCTCTCTCTCTCTGTCTTGTGCACACACTTACTTCTCATTCAGCCGCCATGAGCAGGAGCAGACCCCAGGGTTACAGAGGTTGCCCTCCATGTTCAGCCGAAGCAGCCCAGCCATGCAGAAGCTGGCACTGACTCATATGGCATCACTGGCACAGTCCTGGCAGTGGGTGTCACTTTGGCGCCTTCAGGCCTTGCCTGTGCTGCTCCACAATACCCTTCTCTGCCCATGTTAGTGCCTGCGACAGAGCGGGCAACACAGCTCTGACTGTGTAGGGCACAAGGAAAGACAATAGGGTGCTGAGCACTACTGCACTGTCAGAACAAATTGCGCTAATTAGCCCTGGCACAACCCCCACCCTCCTCATTTCAGTAGAGAAATAGGGTGTTTAAATCCACTAGCTAGCAGGTTGCACCCTCAGGCTCATAGCTGGAAAGGGCTACATTTCTAGACTGCTGCCCAGTGCCCTGCCCAATCCTTGATGGCCTACAATTTGGCCTGTGCTCCGGCAGCGCTACGAGTCCATGGTCCAGTCCAGGGAATGTTTTGATTGACCTGAACCAAACTTTTTCTGGCACCAAAGGGCACTTTTTCAGCCCCTCCAAGATCTGTGTGTAGATGAGCACTCCCAGTAACACAGAGATGGAGACATGGACTGCAGTCCACCATGTGAGCACCTGCACTGGGGCATGGCACTGGAAGCACAAAGGAGAGTTTCTGTGGTAGTGACTTGTAAGAAGATTGCACAAGGAGTCATGGGGTCACAATGGGCATTCTCCATCAGCCCTTATCCATAAATAAAAAAACAAGAAGCAGAGGGGGGAGGGATAGCTCAGTGATTTGAGTATTGACCTACTAAACCCAGGGTTGTGAGCCCAATCCTTGATGGGGCCATTTAGGGAACTGAGGTAAAAAACTGTCTGGGGATTAGCCCTGCTTTGAGCAGGGGGGTGGACTAAATGACCTCCTGAGGTCCCTTTCAACTCTGATATTCTATAGCAACTGGTGTATAAATTAGATTCTATGAAGTGTAGAAAAATGATAAGGGAAGCTAAAGACATAAGGAAAATTCCATAGCTGACTAGGCTAAGGACAATAAAAAGGAGTTTTTAAAGTATATTAGGAACAGAAGAAAGCCTAGCAATGGTATAGGTCCATTACTAGATGGAGTGGTAAAATAATTATGCTGTGATATAGGCCAATGTTCAATAAATATTTCTGTTCTGTATTTAGAAAGAAGCAGGATAATGTATTCATATCACAGTCCCTTAGTAACTAAGGAGGCTATTAAACAACATCTACTAGGGATAAATATTTTTAAATCATAAGGCCCAGAAAATTTGCACCAAGAGTCTTTAAAGAGTTAGTTTAGGAGATCTCTGGTCCATTTAGGTTAATTTTTAATAAATCTTGGCATATTGAAGAAATTCCAAAAGATTGCAAGTGTGCTAATGTTGTGCCAATATTCCAAAAGGGCAAGTAGGATGACTTGGGTACCAATAGTCCAGTTAGCCTGACATCAGGCCTGGGCAAAATAATG